AAAAAAAAAAAAAAAAAAGACTTCTGTGGAGGAAGGCACTGCAAATGAGGGGGAAACAGCAAGAGAACTAGAATTAGAATTGGATCCTGAAGATGAGAATGAATTACTGCAATGCTGTGATAAAACTTGAAAGAATGAGGAGTTGCTTCATGCGAATGAGCAAAGAAAGTGGTCTCTTGAGATAGAATCTACTCCTGGTGAAGATGCTGTGAGCATTGTTGAAATGACAACAAAGGACTAAGAGTATTACATAAACTTAGCTGATAAAGCAGTGGCAATGAGAGGATTGGCTTCAATTTTGGAAGAAGTTCTTCTATGGGTAAAATGCTATCAAACAGCATCCTTTGCTTCAAGAAGTTTTTCATGAAAGAAAGAGTCAATTGATAACGGCAAACTTCATTTTGGTCTTGTTTTTTAAGAAATTGCCAAAGCCACCCCAACATTCAGCAACCCCCTGCCTTAAGCATTCAGCAGCCATCAACACTGACACAAGACCCTCCATCAACAAAAAGATTGCACCTTGAAGGCTCAGATGATCATTAGCATTTTTCAGCAATAAAGTATTTTTAAATTAAGATATGTATGTTGTTTTTTTGGACCTGGTGCTACTGCATAACTTATAAACCACAGTGTAAACATAACTTTTTTTTGACATTATTATGAATATTATTTCACTTTTTTGGATATTATTATGAATATTATTTCACTTTTCACCTTCAGTAGAGTGTTATGGCATCATAGCTCACAGCAACCTCAGACTCTTGGGCTCAAGCGATTCTCTTGCCTCAGCGTCCTGAGTAGCTGGAACTACAGGAGCCTGCCATAACGCCTCGCTATTTTTAGAGGTGGAAGAGTCTTGCTTTTGCTTAGGCTGGTCTCAAACCTGTGAGCTCAAACAATCCAGCCATCTCAGCCTCCCAGAAAGCTAGGATTACAGGCGTGAGCCACTGCACCCAGCCAAATATAACTTGTGTGTGCACTGAGAAACCAAAAAAATTTGTGAGATGAGTTTTATTGTGATACTCACTTTATCACAGTAGTGTGGGGCAAACACACAATATATCCAAGGTACTTCTGTGTGTAAAAGAGCCAGGAACACAGAGCCAAGGGCCCATACCACATGAGAGAGTGGTTGCAGGCTTGGCAGCACTCATATGAACAACTACCAAAGGAGAGACCACCCCATTAGTGAAGATTCTAACCCCATGTGCCTCTCAGTACCATTGGCCTCGTGGGTCATATTGGTATGGGTTGATTTTTCCTAAGAAGATTCTTTTTCTAACTCAGGTAAAGGGGAAATCTCACAGGTTCCTGACAGTAAGACTCTCCTGAGCTGGAGTGAACCAGGAGTATGGCATAGTCCATGCTAGAGTAATGAAAAGGAAAAAAGAAAGGTTGTCAAAAGATATGGGTTCCTGGTGTGGATCAACTGCCACGTGGCCTGAGGCAGTTTCCAATGGTTGTGTTTTTTGCGGTGGCAGAGGTGTTGCCATCAGCACACGGTGGCCCTTAGTCAAATAGGGACCATGGCTCCTCCTGCCCCCCATGTAGGGCTGTCATGAGCATCAGGCATCCCAGCTTACTGACACTTACTATGTGTGGGTGCTGGGAGGCCTCACAGCTTTCAGAGAGCCAGATGAGCGACAGACAGCTCCGTCAGGATGGCTGTGAATAGCAGAGGGTGATGAGAAAGGCGGTAGTTACACCTGGCTTGGGGCTGGCAAAGGCCACCCAGAGAAAGAGACTTGTCAGCAGAGACCTAAAGGGTCACCAGGACCCTTACAGGTGAATGGAGCCTGTGGCCTAATTGAGGGCAGTCAGAATTCTGCAGGTGTTCAGGGAAAAGTCAGATGTGTCACAAATGGGCACTTCCTCTCTTCTTGGTTATTCTTGGAAGAAATTCTGTCCAGGCACCGCCTGTGGTGCTTTGGGGGCCCACAGACAGGGGACCCTCAGCAACTGCCTGGGTGAGAGTGAGCTGCTGTGAAACTCCGTGCCTGAACGTGGGGTGTCCTCAAAGACAGGGTTTCCCCAAGCACCATGGCCCAGCTCTGGCTCCCTCTGACCAACCCCAGGTGGTTTAGGGTATCCCTCAAAGATGTGGGGAAAGGGCCAGAGTAGAGGAGAGAAGAGAGAGAGGCAAGGTTGGAGCAGGCAGGGCTGGTTTAGAGGTGAGGTAAGAGGAGAGCCAGCAGGAGCAGTGTGTGTGTGTGTGTGTGTGTGGCAGGGGTGTGCACATGCACAGGAACAGCCTATGTGCAGCCAGGTATACACCCCTTTTCCCCTGGCCATTCCAACTGAGGGTGGGGGACCTCTCCTTGGTCACCTGTCCTCCCTACCCATATCTCATGTGCTCTCTCTCCCTCCCCTTCCACCTCCCTCTTTACAGCACCCCCTGTCAAAGGGAAAAGGAAACAATCAGAGGAGGGTGACACCCTAGACCCACCTGCATCCCCTAAACCTGATGGTGAGCAGAGCAGGAGCCAGAGCCCCATCCAGCTGGAGGTGAGTTGGGTGACTCCCTTGGGGGCTCTTCCCTGCCACCTTCACTTGTGCTTAGACTCCAGGTAAACCTGGAGACTCACCAAGCCCTGAAAAGGGAGCTGTGTCCCTCTACCTGACCTTCACAGGCAGTGGGGGAACTCGCCCATCACCTGTGGAAGAGGGTTTCAGTCTTAGTTTTTATAGCAGAACGTGTTTTTCAGATGCAGATGACCTGACACCCTGATCCATAAAACAGACAAAAGCACCAATCTGTAATGTAAAACTGCATTACACCCATCCTTCCACATTTATAACACAGACATAGGAAGTCACTTGGTGAGCTCAACAAGGCTATTTTGATGAGCACAGAATCTGAAGGGGGGTCTGCAGATGGCATTTTAGTAGCACAGTCAGCCTCAGCTTCCATTCATTTTGGCCATTTGTTTTGGTGGCACAGTCTGGAGAAAATATCCTGATTCATGTAGAAAAGTGAGTTGGTAATGGTCTTTAACAACCTGCCTGGAACTCAGAGAAGAGGACTAGAAGGGCAGATTCACATGAGCAGTTAGTTGTGAGGGGTCTGCCCAAAACCAGCCCTCTGTGTCTCCAGTGTCTCACAACTTCATAGATAGCACATAAGTTTGTGTGTCATTTAATAGCAAACGGCTTTAATACCTTAAAAACATTGAAATATTGTAGAAGATATTTACAACTAAAAAGGAAGTGAAATCGGAGCACATTCTGAGCTGTTCTAGGCCTACATAGTTTATGTGCTTCTGGGAGCTGTGTGCTCTCTGACCACCAGCCTATCTTGGGCCAGGATAGGACCCTTGGACCCTCAGCCTCAACCCAGCCATAACCCACTGCCCTGACCTCCCTGTCAAATGAAGCTTCAGTAGGAATTGCCCCTCTGGAACTGGCAAACAAAAGTCCCATGTACCTGACAGCACCGTGCCATAAGACACCCAGAGCTTCTACTCCCTAGGTTCAGTATGGCAAGCCAGTGGGTCAGAGAGGGAGGCCACCACAGCAGAGGCTTGGTGGACTCAGGCTTGGCAGAGTGGCCCCACAGTGCTAGACACCTTTGTTCCTTCATCACAGGCACCCTGGGGACACAGAGTCTGCCTTGTGGTAGCTCACAGTGGGGCAGAGGAGCTAAGGAAGATACAAATGTTAACAAAGCTAAAAGCAAGATGAAGAAGTGGTCTTGGCCTGGAGAAGGCTGGGGATTGTACCTTTGGCCACCTCTAGAGCTGTCAGGTCTCTGAGGAGGTCCTGGACTCCAGGCCCTGTCCTGGGGCTGGAGGCACCAAGAGCTATTGGTTGTGTCGGTCAGACCCAGAACAGTCACTCCACCCCAGAGCAGTGGGCTGGGTGTTCTTGGAGAGCCTGAGGTTGGGGCAGGCACCTTTTTCCTCCCCACATGCAGTGGTTTCTGCATGTCCCCAGCCACCCACCAACTGGGGCCCATCCCAATGCCTCCTGTTCTTTCCCCAGGACTCCTCTGAGGCAGGCGGGGAGCGAGAGGAGGAGCAGGCCTTCCTGGTCAGCCTCTACAAGTTCATGAAGGAGCGACACACACCCATCGAGAGGGTGCCCCATCTCGGCTTCAAGCAGAGTGCGTTCCTGGGGTACAGGCAGGGAGTGGGGGCTTAGCAGGGGATCCCACCAAGGCAGGGCACCAGGCAGGCACCTCCACTCTGGGTAACTCTGGATGCTGCTAGCCCTGCAAGGGTTGCAAACAGGATTCCCCCTTCCATGCTTGGGGCTGGGTAGAGCTGGATTTCCATCCCCACTGGCCACTGGGCCACCTATGCACCAGGCCCAGCCTGCCTATCCATGGCAATGGCCCTGCTTGGGTGTGTACTGTCTGCTTGGCCACCAGAGGGACAGACTGACAGACCTGTCCCTCTTTCCTCCAGTTAACCTGTGGAAAATCTACAAGGCAGTAGAGAAGCTGGGAGCTTATGAGCTGGTAAGGAAGGCACCTCCCTGTAGGGTCAGTGGCAAGGGGCTACCCGGCTCAGCTCTCCTTATCAGAAGAGAGAGCTCAATCCCCAATCCTGCCCCTGCCTGCTGTGGGGAGGAGCCTGCCTTGCAGGTACTCTGCCATTCGAGGTGGGTTTTCCTCCTCCCTTCTCCATCTATTCTTCCCACCCCATGCTGAGAAACCTGATTGGGCTGGCCTTCTACTGGCTTCCTGGCAGCCCCCTTGGACTTCCTGACCTGCCAGCTGCTGGAGAGGCAGCTGCAGAACCACAGTCCTGGCCTGATCCCCAGAGGGGGACCCAGAACTGAGAAGACCCCGCAGCCAGGGGGTCCCCGCCCACTGTGTACTCACCTGGTGCTGTTGCAGGTGACAGGTCGCCGCCTCTGGAAGAACGTATACGACGAGCTGGGGGGCAGCCCCGGCAGCACCAGTGCGGCCACCTGCACACGCCGCCACTATGAGAGGTACAGCAGGGTGACCACCACAGGACCCCGGGTATAGGACACCCAGGCCCTCCTCTAAGGGACTTGGGCTGAGTATGCGAGTATAGACGAAGGGGCAGGACCAGCGGAGCAGGGCTGTGCTCCATCATGGCCAGGGTTGTGTGCAGTCAGTAAGGGAGGAGGACCCAGGGAGCATAGAGGTAGGGATGGCATGGCCTCCTGGCAACCTGCCTGGCTCTTCCCCAGGCTGGTCCTCCCATATGTGCGGCACCTGAAGGGGGAGGATGACAAGCCGCTGCCCCCCTCCAAGCCCAGGAAACAATACAAGATGGCCAAGGAGCAGCGAGGGGATGACTTCACCACTGAAAAGCCGAAGAAGGCCAAGGAGGAGCGGCAGATGGACCAGGTGAGCACCCAGCCCTCTCGGGGTTACCCAGTGTCTGCCTCTTGCAGCTCCCTCCCCTGCAAGGAACACCAGGACCTAGAGGTCAGAACACCAGGACCTAGAGGGGCTCCAGGTTCTCTGTAAATGGCTGTGAGAGTAGGGTCTGAGCTCCAGCCCATAACCCATCCCCTAAGCCCTATGTCCTGTCCACACAGAGGACAAGGCACCTTTTGAAAATTTTGCATGAGGGTACTACAGAGGCTAGCAGAGGGCCCGGGGCACTCCCAAGATCCTGGTGTCATGCCCTGTCCTGAGGCATGGCTTTTTCTCATTATAGATGATGCCAGGAAAGACCAAAACAGATGTCACTGAACCACCACCACTTCCCAGCCAGGAGCCCCCCAGGGACAGCACAGAACAGCTAGGTCCACCCTCTGGGCCCTCTCTTCCCTTTGTGGGTGCCAGCGGCTGCCCTGAGGCCTACAAGCGGCTCCTGTCCAGCTTCTGCAAAGGGACACATGGCATCATGTCACCATTGGCCAAAAAGAAGCTCCTGGCCCAAGTGAGCAAGGCAGAGGCCTTGCGGTGCCAGGAGGAAGGCTGTCGCCATGGGGCAGACAGCCCCAACAAGGAGCCCCAGGCATCCACAGCCATTCACCCCCGCAAGAGTCCTGGGAGCCCAGGAGGGCTGGCTGAGAATTCCAGGCACCAGCTGACCCCTCAGGAGGGATTGCAGGCCCCTATCAGCAGCCTCAGGGAAGAGGCTCAGATGGGCCCCTGCCCAGCAGCCCCCATCTTCACAGGCTGTTTCCACACCTGTCCCACCGAGGTGCTGAAGCCTATCAGCCAGCACCCCCAGGACTTCTTCTCCAGGCTTAAAGATGGGGTGCTCTTGGGGCCTCCCAGCAAAAAGGAGGGGCTGTCAGTCAAAGAGCCCCAGCTGGTGTGGGGCGGTGATGCCAACCGCCCTTCTGCATTCCACAGAGGCGGCTCCAGGAAGGGCAGCCTCTACCCCAAACCCAAAGCCTGCTGGGTATCCCCCATGGCCAAAGTCCCAGCTGAGAGCTCTGTGCCCCCACCCACCTTCCCCAGCAGCCCAGGCCTCAGCAATAAGCGCAGCCTGGAGGAAGACAGTTTTGCCCATGGTGGCAAAAAACTGCGTGCAGTGTCTCCCTTTCTTAAGGAAGTGGACGCCAAAGAGTGTGGGACCAAACCCGCAGGGCCTGGCCTGGCTGTCTCCTGCCTGCTGGGCCCAGCTCTGGGGCCTGCCCCCCCGGAAGCCTACAGGGGCACCATGCTGCGCTGTCCACTGAACTTTGCCAGCACCCCGGACCCCTTAAAAGGCCAGACCACACTCCCCTTCAGCCCTCTGGTCATCCCGGCCTTCCCAGCCCACTTTCTGGCCTCTACAGGCCCGTCACCTATGGCCACTGGCCTGATGCACTTTCCCCCTGCATCCTTCAACAGTGCCCTCCGCCACAGACTTTGCCCAGCTTCGTCTGCCTGGCATGCACCACCGGTCACAACCTATGCAGCACCCCACTTCTTCCATCTCAACACCAAGCTGTAGGTCTCAGCAGACAGCATTGTGATGGGCTGCCCTGCAGAGGATCTGCCATGGCCTAGTATGAGCAGGGACTCGGGTCAGGGCTAGATCACACGAACCAAGAGCCCTGGGTCGTGCTGCTGGCCAGGCAGCCTGGTGTAAGGAGGAAGACAGTGGGAAAACTGGGTTTGTCTCAAGGAGCTGCTTAGGAAAGAAGGTGCAGGATTGGCAGCTGGGAGCTGGCTGGCAGCTCAGGCATTCAAGTTGCCCATGGAAAGTCCAATAAAAAGACACCAATGTGAATCTACCCAACTCCAACATGTGCATGGTGTGGACCTTTGAAAGGGCAGTTGAGACAGGACAAGCTTGTGGGTAGGCCTGTCAGTGGAGGAGTCAGGAAGATAGACCTGAAGGCCCCACCTCACTGAAGAGTGGGCCCAAAGTAAGCCTTGGCCTTCTGCTCACTTTTTAGCAGGCTCTATTCCCATCCTGTTCCTTCAACCTGCTTTCCTAGGTAAGCTCCAGGCAGCTGCCTATTGCCTTTGTTGTGAGGATGGGAGTCTGAGGCTCAGAGAGGGTAGGTGACTTTCCCAGGTTGCCTCAGCAGGCTAGGAGCAGGGTAGGCCATAGACACAGTGTTGACTCCAGTGTTCTCAGCTGAGCTACAGGACCAACCAACCCTGTGGCTGTTACTAGAGTTCCAGGGAGCTGAGAGTGTGACCAGGAAGCCCATGTTGGACTTGTGGGGCTGCATGATCCTCTTGCCCATCTGCCCCATAAGGACCAGCCAGGAAGGCCCACTGGATGGGAAGAGCTGGGGGTGAAGGGAATGAAAGGGCCAGTCTGGGCCTCAGCATCTGCATTATAAAACAGGTTGGGATGTGTTCAGGAGGTACACACACAAGCCCTGCAGTCTGATGCTCTCCTTCCTGGGGGTTCAGGTGGGGAGTAGGGGCCTGTCAGAGGTGTCCCTCCACAGGCAGCTTGTCTCAGAACAGCTTTACACCTATCCCTGGGAAAGCGGGGCCACCATTGGTTAAATGGATGCCAGGGCTGCAGGTGTCCCTTGTGCCACTGGAACTCCCCCTGCCCTCAGAGGCTATGGCTGCAGGGATGCTTGTGACCTCAGGCCATAGGAGGGACAATCTAGTGTGACTGCCTTAGTTCATGAGTGGGGAGATCAAGGCCAGGGGTGGGAGGGTTCTTGCTAGCCCAGGGCCACCATCCAGGATACAGCCTCAGTTGGAGAATATGCAACATGCCTGGCACCAGGGAGTAAGGTGGGAGGGCAAAAAGGCCACGTTATCCAGCCTCCACTTCCAACCTCCTCCAGGAAGTGCCTGTGGAGGGGGCTCAGGCCACATGTGAGGCCACTGATGGGGTGGCCAGGGAATAGTGGTCCCCGTTGATGTGAGCACTCTCAGCTCTGCAGGGGCATCTCCAATTTCCTGCTGCTTTTCTGAGAGATTCCAAGATGCCAGCCTGAGAATCTGTGTGACTAGCCCTGAGCTCCCAACTCCCCCACACACCTGCCTGGAGCTCACCTCTCCAAGCCTCCAGAGGCCCTGTGGTTGATGAAGAATAGGGAAGGGCCTGAATTCTGCCCACCTGCTAGCAAACACCCTAAGAACTGGGCTGTGAGTCATTTGACCGATCTCCTGGATAGAGGGGAGGTGAGAGCTGTCTATTGTGAGCAGGATTTCACCTGAGACAGGGCAGAGTTGCTGGGTCCCCTTCAGCTGCAAAGCAACATTGGTTTGGCCATGGGACAAAGGTGGACAGGCGCCTGACTCTAGGACTTGGGTGCAGAAGGCTCAGCGCTATGGTTGTGGCGCCCTCTGGAGGCCAGTCTAGAGAACACACCTTCCCTGTAGCATGTCTGTCTTGGGCAGGATTGCCACAGAAGATGCTGCCTGTAGGTCATGCTTCCTGGAAAACCTCTGGGTTTCTGTGGGCCTCTGTGCCTCGAAGCCCTGGTGTGCTAGCTTTACACAGTTCTCATTCACTCCTCACGATTCCCAGGAGAAGACACAGTGTGGTGGAGCCCAGCCAGTGCTACTGTAAGCGAAGAGTGAGGATAGGGACCAAGGTTGGAGGTCTGAGGTAAAGGGAAAACCGGAACAAGTGAGCTCACTGAGTGAAGCAAGTCCACAGAGGGGAAAGGTCCCACGGGCTTTGGAAAGCAAGAGGCTGCACTTGAAGTCAGTGGCTCAGGTGTCAGTGAGACCAGGCAGCCAGCTGGGTGCAGACTTAGAGAGCTGGATGCCCCTGAGTGGGAGTTTAACCAGGGGCTGGTGCAGCAGAGAGGAACAGGGACCTGATGTGGGTGCAGGAAGCCACAGAGGGCTGTGGAATCTGAGCCAGGGATAGGCTTTGGGACCAAGGGACTGCTGGGGAGATCAGAGGGCCGGCTGAAGTCATCACAGGTGTTGGGCATGTTTATAGGACTGAGTAGAGGAGAGGAGGCCAGGAGGTGAGGAGCCAAGGATCACCACACATGAGGACAGCAGTGGTGTTGGGGAAGCAAGTAGGCCAGGGGCAGAGTGGGAGGGAGTGAGAAAGAAAGGTGCAGGGTGGAGGGACTTGGGGGGGCCAGCAAGGACATGATACAGGGTGGCAACAGGCTATGGCTGCAAGAAGAGCCTCACCTTCTTCCTTCAGAGCAGTGGAGGAGTCACTACACGGGTGTGGTCTGGGGAAGTGCCAGAGGGGCAGCCAGGAGCCCAGGCAGGTCAGTAAGAGATGTCCATGGCTTAGCAAAGACATAGACTCAAGACCAGAGGCTGCTAATGGTGGCCTAAGATGTTTAAATGTTTTTTAAATATAGCTGCTGGTATTTAAAAATCAGACTTCACATAGAAAAACTGATTATAAGTTTGCTGTATAAAAAACAATTTCTTGGGGTGGCGCCCGTAGCTCAGTAGCTAGAGCGTTGGCCACATACACTGAAGCTGGCAGGTTGAAACCTGGCCCGGATCAGCTAAAACAACAATGACAACTGCAACAACAAAAAAATAGCTGGGCATTGTGGCAGGTGCCTGTAGTCCCGGCTACTTGGGAGGCTGAGGCAAGAGAATTGCTTAAGCCTAAGAGTTTGAGGTTGCTGTGAGCTATGACACCATAGCACTCTACTCAGGGTGACAGCTTGAGACTCTGTCTCAAAAATAAAAAAAACACTAGAATTTCTGACCACATGGGACCACTTTCTGGGCCTGAGCAATGGCTGCTACCCTTTGGACAGGGAGACCAGCTCTCCTCCCCAAGCCAGAGGGACCCTGCCACTGCTTGGTCTCTTCCAAGGCTCTTTTCCATCTTGGGATATTTTGGTGTGTCTAGGATTCCCACCAATTGTGGGCCTTGCCACCCTGCCCTTGAGGGGACAGCAGACAGAAAGGAAAGATCAAGAAGCTGGAAGCCAGAACACAAGCCCTTGAGGCTGGACGACTCCCTCACATGGTTTGTGTATCAGAAACTGTTCTTGGGCCTTTTACTTGCTAGCAACAAACAAACCCTAACCCCGGCAGGAGAGAGCCTGAGTGACTCACAGAACTGCAGGGAGAGCTGGATGCCCTGACTACCGCACTGGGGGTACCACAGACCTCCACCTCGTTTCTGGGTGGGTAAGCTGGCCTATAGGCATCTCTTCCCGACTCTGCATTCAATGGTGCCTGCTAGGAGCTTGAGGTAGGTGAAGCAGAGATATCTACACCCCTTCAGAAGTCAGCAACCCAGTGGGCTAGGTGTGGTGGCTCACATCTGTAATCCTGGCACTCTGGGAGGCCTAAGCAGGTGTATTGCTTGAGCTCACAGGCTCAAGACCAGCCTGAGCAAGAGCAAGACTCTGTCTCTATTAAAAATTCAAAAAACTGAGGCAAGAGGATCGCTTGAGCCCAGAGTTGAAGGTTGCTGTGAGCTATGATGATGCCATTGGCACTCTACCCAGGGCAAAAGCTTGAGATTGAGACTGCCTCAAAAAAAAAAAAAAAAAAAAACCAAAAAACTCAGCAAGCGCTAGAAATCAGGGGTCCCCCTACTTCCAGCCAGTGGCTAATCACTTGGCCACATGCATCACCAACTGCTTTCTGTCCTGTGAGTCCAGCTCAAGGATACACTTTCAGGAGAGAATCTGATCTAAAGCCTGTGCTTACCTATACATTCTCAAGGCCTGTTACCCAGAGAAAGTGTGTCAGCCAGGTAACCAAAACAGCAGCAGCCACTACCCTGGATAATGCCAGGTGCATATACTTCTCTGGGCTTCCATTTCCTCATCTGACATGAAGGTGAGTCACTTCTACCTCAAAAGTCACAGGCATTTAGTGTAAGTGCTCTGTAAACTGAAGTTCTGATGAATTCAAGTTATCACCTCCTTCCCACCCACAGTTCTGCTCATCCAGCCTGACCACCCCTGCCCTGCCCTTTACCCTACTGCTTTTATAATCCCTGCCCTCTTGACTGGCTTCTGACTCAGAGTCACCCTGACTTCTGGATCCTGTATTTGTCTAGGTCAACAATGGCAAGTCCTGAATTATTATGGTACATATACCTACTGGCCAACATTCAGAAACACATCTCAGTGTTCCCCTACTTCTAAGTGGTTCTCAGAGGACTTCTGCATGCTCAGCAGACATCTGTAGTTCTTTCTTACCCCATTGGCCCAAATTGCTGGTGGCCTGAAGAGGAGCAGTTCTTTGCACCAATGATCTTGGTCAATTCCACTTAACTTCTGGAGAAGGAATAGAATCCACCCTTGATTCTTCCTTCAGAAACATGGGCTATGGCCCATCCCTTCCCCACCTACACACAGACACACACACAAATTGAGACCAGTCAGGGAAAGTTAATAATGTTTTATTAAAGTTTATTGAAAGCAGAAAGGATGAACAACAAACACATAATCCTCAAATACTTCTTGAAGCTGCCTTTCAACCCTACCAACCCAGAGGATGCTGGTTCCTTGGGATAGCCCAGACTTCCAGCCACCATCTGCAGCTCTGGGGGGCTTGAGAATTGAACCCAACTCAACTCTCTGCCTCAGAGAAAGGGGAGAGTTTATTTTTTTCTTCACCCTCTTCTGGAGCTTGTCTCTAAATCTTCCAGTCCCAGAATCAACATATTAACTGTTGGTTGATAGGTACTAGACAAATTATTAAAACTTTTGAAAATCACCTCTGCTTAGAAGCAGTCATCCAATCAAAATGGTTGGTATAGGATAACCCTCTCCCCAGAAAAAGCAGACCAGACCCTGTCAACTAACATCCCTTCCTTGCTAACAGAATCCTGGCAAAGGATCACTCCAGGATGGATATGACTCATGGCATAGCAGCACTCTAAGAGGATATGACTGGTGGTAGCCAATTATAACAATTCTGTTCCCTAACTCCCCAGCCTCACTGGCAACCAGGAGCCACATGACTCAGCTCTAGCCACTGTGATCTATGAAAGACT